TTGTCATATGAGTTGTACAATTGTCCTCGTATAATTACGGTAATAGCAATTTTTGTAGTAGATGAAATATATATGTACTGTATATTAAATAATGTTCTCATGATTTTTTTTAATAAAGTTATTATAATGTAAATAAAGTTTCTATTGGCGCGGTAAACTTTTAATTTCTTTGATTAGTCTTTCTATAAGTGATTTGGAACCGGCTTATTTTTAACCGCGTTTAATGGTTAATTATTTTCAATATAAAAACACGTGAAATTTTACATCATCTCGTAGATTCAAATCCAAGATTAAAGTCCACATTATCATCAAGGGCGATCAAACAAGCTTGTTTGATGGGATATTGTTTCAAAATTAATTCTTTTTAAAAAAAAAAAAAAAAAAAAGATGATCAAAATTACAAATGTTACTAATCACTTTTAGTAAGTAATGAAAAACGTAAGAGATGTTAAATTATATAGTATTAGAAATCATACTATTTGTTATGAATAAACCATACATGTATAATTTTTAAAGCATATACATTCAAAAATAAAACCGTACTATACATAAAATCCATTCCATACATATTATCATTTTCGGTTCGGGTATATAGCAATCTATGCGTCATGATGTATAATAATAATATTATATAAGTCCAAAGTTTTCAAGGAATTCTTGAGTCAAAGGAATGGAAAGTTCAGGCGGTCATTTAAATCATCCGGTATATCACACATATGATAATATTCGAATAATTTACGAATTGAAATAAAAACTATACGATAATATATTTTAAGCCCATAATAAAAACAAATGATTATTTTTTATACATTAAAATTGATTTTAAATATTAATTATATCTGAAGTAATTGACGAAAGGATCTTTTTATTGTTGCAGTATTATTGATGTCTATTTTCAAAAAAAAAAAAAAAAAATTAAGGATGCTAAATATAATAAAAAAAAAATAATCATAAATATTTTGTTAGCATGGATATTAATTGTTAATTAAGGAGTCAATTCCATCTTCGCTATTCAAGCAACACAATTCGTCTATAAATTCTTTTTGGCTGGTTTAAATTCGCCTAAGCTTATACCTTTTTTTGGTTTCCTTTTTTTTTTTTTTTTTTTTTAAAGAAAGTACTCCTGCGAGAAAAATCGATTCGAATTTAACAATTTTTTATCCTTAAAAATAAGGGTCTTGTGATCTGCGAAAATGGGAGGTTTGCTATTAAAATCACATTCCAGATCATAATATACTACAACCCTCCCAAATGTTTCCGATAAGTTTTGGCCGGAAATGTTACTTCTCAAACTACGACTTTAATATAATAATTTGGATTGGGCAAAGTATTTTAGCCTTGGTTTCATGTAACACGCACACTAAAATAAATACGTATCGACAAATATAAAATTTTATTCCTTACGGTCAAATAAGCCGTCAATTTGTAAGGAAATTTGATGACGAATTTATCCAAATGTGACTGTGGAGGCTTAAGATCGGTCTCAGACGGCCACAAAGCATAAGCACAAGTCTAAGGACAGGGCTAAGTAAGAGGCTTGATGTGAAAAAATATATATATATATATAATTTGTTTTCTCTTCAAAGGATTCACTCTACTCGAACTTTGTTAAAATCATTGCATGAGTAGGCTTTGACAATCCTTGTCATAAATCACGGATTTTATTATAAACTAAACTTGATTTGTATGATGAAGTAAATCGTCATCTGGTCAATATTTATCTTGTAATACAATAACATATACATGAAATAGGTTGAATTCATATAAAAAATTATAAAAAATATAAATATACCCTTTAAAGAAAGGAATTTGAATTGATAAAGCAATTCCCCCTTAAAAGGTACCGATTCTTTTTTGTTCCCTTTTTTTCCCTTTTCTTTTGGTTAAAATATTATTTTTTTTTTTTTTTTCATTTGCAGAAAATCCAATTCTTTTAATGATCACACTAAATTTGAAATCCAACGCTTTCATTTAATTTTCTTTTTCTCTTTTATTGTCATTAGACTTGTTCGATATTTTGGCCGATTATTTTTCCTTTGAATCGAAAAAAATCTCTCATTTTCCAATAATTATTTTTACGATTGGTTACTTCTATATGTTAAAATGAAATCTTTTGTGAACGCAAGCATGCTTAAAATGTGGGTTTATGCGCTACTGTTGATTACGGCGCAGTTACATCGAAATACGGTCTTTGGCGCAGTATCGCCAATGGCAACAGATGAATACAATGCAAGTTCAAAGGTTTTCAAATTTCAAAAAAAAATTTTTTTACATTAGCCTAATCCTTAATTGTATGATTATAGGTTGGAATTGGAATAGCGGATGTGACAGGAACGGCAGGTGACCCATCCTACCCTTTTGTCCTTTTGTTTTCACTAATCACTCGCATCATACTAACTCATTTTTCGACGTTTAGCTGGAGTTAATATGATGGGTTATGCGATGCCAGGACAAATAGCAAAAGGAATACATATAAGGCAAAGATCGAGAGCGTTCATTATCATCGATCCAAGTACGAACAAAAGGGTTGTATTCGTTTCTGTGGATATTAATATGGGAACGACGGCCGTTAGAACCGCAACTTTAAAAAAATTAAATGCAACTTTTGGAAATTTATATAATGAAGAGAATGGTAATTTATCAAGGGGGAAAAGATCAAGGAATTTTTTTTTTGTAAAGTTAGCATTAACCTCCCTCTTATTTTTTGTTTTAATGTCTTAGTTGCTATTTCGGGAACGCATACACATGCTGGTCCAGCTGGATTTTTACAATACGCAGTAAGCATTTAGTTATGCAAATCAATTAATTCTTAAAATAATAATAATAATAATAATAATAATATGTATATCTATCTATCTTCAAAATTAGTTGTATCAAATAACATCATTCGGATACGTGAAGGAGAATACGGAAGCAATATCAACCGGAATATTTAATTCAATAGTAAAGGCGCATAATTCCATACAGCCAGCATCCATTTACGTATCAAGTGGAGAATTATTAGATGTGAATGTCAATAGATCTCCATTTTCCTATGAAAACAATCCCAAAGAAGAGAGGTCCGAATATACATATGATGTCGATAAAGAAATGATATTATTGAAATTTACTAATGCTAATGGTGACGTTATTGGAAGTTTGAATTGGTTTCCCGTACACCCAGTATCGATGATGAATAATAATACATTGATATCGGGAGATAATAAAGGTGCCGCATCATATTTCTTGGAGAGGGAATACAATGGAAATGGTACTTTGACCGGGGAAGAGACCATCGTTCACGCTTTTTCTAATAGTAATCTGGGGGATTCGTCGCCAAACATCTTCGGACCTTACTGTGCTGATACGGGAAATCCTTGTGATTATAAAACGAGTACATGTAACGGTAAAAAGGATAATTGTTGGGGAAGAGGGTATGGATATTTGACGGGAGATGATATATACGCGACAAAAATCATAGCGGAATTACACGTTACTAAAGCAAAAGAATTGATAAGCTCGGCGACGACCCTTGTCAATGGGTCGATTGATTATAAATATACAAGAATTGACATGCAAAATTATAAATTTACACGTAATGGTACGGAAGTTTCGTTATGTAAAGCAGCTCTTGGGTATAGTATGGTCGCGGGTACAACGGATGGACCGGGTGGATTTAACTTTATACAAGGGGATAATGGTACTGGCAATCCATTTTGGAACGTGGTAAGAAGGATTATAAAAGAGCCCGCCAAAGAGACAATTGAATGTCAAAGACCTAAACCGATTGTGTTGGCTACGGGTGAAATGACCTCACCTTATGATTTTACTCCTTCAATCGTTGACACGCAATTACTTAAAATTGGTAATATTATAATTTGTGTCGTACCAGGAGAATTTACTACCATGAGCGGCAGAAGATTAAAAAAGACTATCAAGAAAGTGCTTGTGGAAAGAGGAGTGATTGATGATAGAGGAATTGTAATTGTTAGCGGACCGTCAAATACTTATACACATTATATCACCACACCTGAAGAGTACATCGTGCAAAGATATGAAGGTGCTTCAACGATCTACGGACCAAACACGTTAGACGCTTATCTTCAAATCTATCAAGATTTAGCTAATTCGATGGCTGATAACATCACTTTACCAAAGGGTCCCGCAACTCCTGATTTTACCGATAAAGCTTTAAATTTTATACTTCCAATCATTGTTGATATCCCTCCTCTTTTCAAGAAATTTGGGGAAATTTGGAAGGATGTTAAAGCGAATTATACCAAAGGAGAAACGGTTGAAGTTGAATTTGTTGGTGGTCATCCTAAAAATGTCATTCAATTGGAAGGTAGTTTTCTTTACGTACAACGACTTGAAGGTGAAAAATGGATTAACGTTAAAAATGATGGTGATTGGACCACAAAGTTTAAATGGTTGGGTCATAGTATTGTTAGGATTATTTGGGAAATTGACAATGATACTATAGGTGGGTAAATCTTGAAAAAAAAAAAAAATGGAAATGAAAATGAAAATGAAATTGATTTTTAACTTGTCCCTTTTCTTTGATTTGCAGCTGGAACTTATCGTATATTTTATCAGGGCTATCATAAATTACTTGGCGGTACCATTGAATCCGAATCTGGCACCTCTTCTAATTTCACGGTATCCTAAAAAGGCAATAATTCTTTTAGGATGAATTAATATAAAAGTTACTCATGGAGAAATTATACGTGTAATAAATATAAATAAATGTATTGTAATTAACCAATTTCATACCTTTGTAAATTTAATAAACGAAAAGAATAAAAAGAATGATATCATGAGCATTATTGAACTAATATGGTGAATAAATTATGTCTCGGCTACGAAATAATTGTCCCGAAGCGTAAGCGTAATCTACCAAATAAGTATTGTATACAATCGATACTCACTCGGGAGCATAAACGATTGAGAACATTTAAATTCTTGATGATTAAAAAGAATGCATTCAGATGATCATTTGATATATGGATATGATCTATCATTCAAAATATTCATGAGGATATCATTTTTGAATAGGTTATTTTTCGCAATACATGGCCCCGATTAATTATAATAAATGTCCACGATATTTTACAACGTCGATTATGAATAATAATGCCTTTGATGACTTTTTTATATCATTTTTTTTTTTTATACCGAATGACCATAACAAAACCTTGAGAATCCCATACAGATATTACTACTTATTTTAATATAATCTCCCAAATTTCCATTAATAGTGGCAAGAGATGGTAAGCGTTGCGTTGAAATTATAAATTGTGATTCTCGTCGTTTTCGGATATATTATTAAAAGAATTAATCGTTTTCATCTTCGACGAATGCTATAACTATATAAACTAAATAAATAAATAATTTATTAACTACTCCAATGAAAATCTACTGTACTTCAAGTTTTTAGCAATAACTTGTATTAACCACATATTGTTATCTGTTTGCATATACTTGCATGTTTACATTAAGAGTCATCTTTATATATACTCTTTATAGAATGTTATCCCCCCAATATAAATATTATTAATTTGTATATAATTAATTTATATATATTTTTTTACATAACACGTGATAAATGTCCTATTTTGACCATCGGAATTATTGTATTCCGATTATCTACCAATTACTCCTCGTATCAAATTATTTTGTCATACCTTCAAAAAGCCGTGAGAAGATTTTTTCCTTTCGTATTTTGGACTCGTCATATAAAAAGAGTCCACTTTAAAAAAAAAATTTTTTTGATTCTGTTCTCTAAACTGTTAAAAAAAAACCATTATGGAAAAAACATTTTTTTGGTTAACCCTTGTATTAAATATAATCTTTTTTTCGTTCCTTACGACTTCATTTTATTTGTTATTTTCACCAAAAGTTTCATTACCTCCATTACCGCCTATCTTAGAGGAAGAGTTCTGGAATTTAACAATTATTCATACAAATGATGTCCATTCTCGTTATGACCAAATTAATTCCGCTGCTACTGATTGTACCAAAGAACAATTTGAAGCAGGAAAATGTTATGGTGGTACGGCCAGACATAAAACTTTGATTGATAGGCTGAGGAACAAAAGTAATAATTCGCTATTATTGGATGGTGGTGATCAATTCCAAGGTGAGGAAAAAATTTTTTTTTTTTTTTTTGGTGAATTTAATTAATGTCGATTAAACTTTTTAATTAGGATCGATGTTCTTCACGTATTATGGTGTAAGTAAATCTTTGTGAGTTATATCTTGTATTTCACTTCTAATTAAATTTTATTTTTTTTTTTCCTTTTTTTTATTCAGGGAAAAATTAATTCCAAAGTTTTAGTAAGTTAATTTTTAAACTACCAGAAACTTTATCAATATCTGAGTGTAATAAATTTAACGGATTACTTTCAAATTCTATTTCGCAAAATAAAAAAATAAAGAATTTACTCGGATATAATGCTACGGTAAGCAACGAGTTTAAGTATCAACTCCAATTTTACACGTTGATTAATTAATTCTTCTTTATCCAGGCCATTGGAAACCACGAATTTGATAAGGGTCCAGATTTTCTTGCAGCCCATCATTCACGTTTGACCATGCCAATTGTGTGTGCAAACATTAATACGACTTTAAATCATTCACTCCGAAAAAACATAAAACCATATCACATCTTCAAGGAATACGATCTCGCTGTTATCGGTTACATCACTAACGTAAGTATCCGTGTCGTGATATATATAATCTAAATTGAACATCACTTAATTTTCTAAAAGATATAGTTTCTCCTTTCGAATTAGACAACAGGAGGTATCTCAAATGCCGGTCCTACCCTAAGCTTCTATGACCCTATCCCAACCGTTCAATATTACGTTAACAAACTTCGCGCTAATGGAATTAAAAGAATCTTGACCATTTCCCATAATGGATACGGTCCTGATAAGGAACTTGCCGCTAAAACTTATGGAGTTGCTGTTCATATTGGTGGTCATAGTCATACCCTTTTAGCGAATGATACAACTTTGCCAGATTATGATCATGCTTTAGGACCTTATCCAACTGTCGTAAGAAATGCTTTGGGCGAAGATACTTTAATCGTTCAAGTAAGTTGATAATTATTATGAGTTCTTTTAAGGTGAATTTATTTTATTAACCTTTTTAATAAATTTTCGTCAGGCGTTCTGGTCTGGAAAATATATCGGCCACCTTGACGTTACTTTTGATATGAAAGGACGAGTTGTGAACTATACGGGAGGACCGATTTTAGTTGATCAATCAATCCCTCAAGACCCTGGTGTTCTAGAACTTGTTAAGAAATGGCGTGAACCTTTCGATGAATATGTTAAAATAGTTATAGGAAAAGCCAAAGACGATTTCAATCAATTAAATTGTCAGCGAGGAGAATGTACTATGGGAAATTTAATCACTGATGCGATGTTAGAATCAAGAAATAATAGTCATGCGGCTTTAATGAATGCAGGTGGAATTAGAGCTTCCTTATTAAAAGGAAATATAACTCGAGAGAATGTTATTACCGTTCTTCCATTTGAAAATTCCTTGGTGGAAATTGAAATGACTGGACAAAATATTACGGACATGTTAGAAAGCGTTGTTAGTCGATGGGAAAATAAATTATCCCGAAAGAAAATCACTAGTTTTATACAAGTTTCAGGAATTCGATTTAAATATGATTCTTCTAGGATGATGTATGATAGAGTGTTGGAAGTTAAAATAAGAAATCCAAAAACTAGAAAATTTGAATCTATAAATTTGAGTGAACCTTATAAAATCTTGACCAATGATTTTATTTCAAATACCGGTGATGGGTAAATATCAAATTTTTTTTTTTTTTTTTTTGATATATATATATATATATATATATATAAACATGAAATTCATTTTAAAATTCGAAATGTATTTTATAGAATACTCCCATATCCAATCGAATATATTCCAATTGGAAATGTAGAAGTTGAAGTCGAACATTATATTAAAAGTCGATGCATGATCAAACCTTACTTGGACGGCCGTATAGAAGATAAATCTATCAAACATGAAGATATTAAACCAATTAATATACATGAACCGATACATTTCCGTTATCAGTTATGAAGTTACCAATACGTAAATTCAAGAAGCAAGGAATTAAAACCAATTTTTTTTTTTTTTTTTTTCCAAACAAGAACTTTTAACAGTATATAAATGTGAATTTTTTTTTTTGTATATTATGTAAAATATTTCGATTATTTAATTTAACAAACAAATTAATGAAGAGTTATTCCAAATCTACATTATTTATTTGCTTCTTTTCGTTTATTTTTCAGCTGCTGGCAGTTGCTGGATGAAGAAATTAAATCTACTGCACAAAGATAATATTGTTATCATCTATTGAAATCCTATGGAGGATGGGAAATTAACGATTAATTTAAGATTTGGTTAATTAAACATTATAAATTTTTTGTATCACTATATAATTCTAAATAAAACTTTGTAAAAAATTTTTAAAAAAATTTCTCGTCGACTAAAATTATTTTTCTTTCGGTTAATTATCTTTTGGTTAATTAATGGTTAATTAACCAGGTTAATCGTAAGGAACAACAGATCTTAAGAACAAAAAACCTGTCTTCACGATGTTGAAAACTAGTGAATATCAGATTTAATTCTTTAATTCTTTTGTAACACTATTGTACAAAAGATTTGTTTGTAGTCAACTGAACATATTTAATTTAGAGTTTAAAAATAAAACAAACTACTAAGATTATGTTTTAGTTGACTTTTTTTGTGGTTTGACATTTTTATTGATGCTCTTTTTTTTTTTTAAAAAAAAAAAAAAAGTCTGGTCATGACTAAAACTGCATTAGCTTGATATCTAGAAAGCTCGTTGGATTCGTCATGACATAACGTAGATATGCGTTTTCAATAGATGAAACGTGTAAATTTCTATTCATCGATGCTAGAGATACGATCAGTAGATAGCGAGTTTGCAGTTTAACTTGCTTGGATTAGGATAGTACAGTTTTTAGGAATTACAATTTAATTTCAAACGACCGAAAAAAAAAAAAAAATGAGCTAATCAAGTACTTAGATCAGAATAATTGAGGATTATTTGATAAAGTTAAAAATCTTTAATAAGGATTTAATTGCGCGTTCTGATTGAACCATATACTCCTAAGAGAAAGTATTACGCGACATCATATAATAAGTACTGTACAACATACTGTACATCACTTTGATCTCCTCACCCTATGAAACTTTTTTTTAATATAAATTAACGTTGAAATGAAAATAAAAAAAATATATGTATATTATTATATGAAAGACTTTCTTAATTTATTGTGATTTAGGGAAATTGATTGGAAGTTCCAAATTCTGAACAATTAAATCTCTCGATTTCAAACCAACTTGTCGTCTTCTCCTTCCTTCAATCAATTTCATTGATTCGTGATACGTTTTTGGCATAATCTTACGTACTGGGTTATCACTATTAAAAGTGAAATGAAAAATATTTGTCGTGTCGCGAGTTTCTTTTTCAATGTCTAATACATCTGCAGTTACCTTTTTTTTTTTTTTACAAAAGCAAATAATTTAAAAAAAATAAAAAAAATAATTTTTTAAATTCGTGTAATTTACAAACTTACCGCAACTTGAAAGCTTTTATGTGGTGGCCCGGGCGCATAAACAATTTGTGATGTCATGATAAGAATCGAACCAATATGAACGGGTTTTCTAAATGATATTTCATCCAAAGCCAAAAATGTCGGTCGACTTTTCAAAAATACCGATGCATTAGAGAATGCGAGCTGAAAATAAAAAAAATTAGATTAAATTAGATTCATTTAATAAAGAGAAAAGAAAGATTTATTTACCTCATATGCTAGTTTCATTAAGTATCCACCAAATACGAAGCCATGTATATTTCGTTTCTAAGAAAGAAAGAAGAGATTCGGTTATGATAATTTATATTCGGAACAAAAAAAAAAAATATACATATAATGTACCTGCGGTTGCATTAATGTAACCGATTCCATGATTGTTTCATCCATCCATTTCATATTTTCGAGCGTTTTTTCTTTTTATTCTGGATTTTTTTTTTAAAAAAAAAAAATAGTTAAAACAATATAATATTTCATCAAAAAATTTGACAAAATCTTAAAAAATACTTATTTACCAGCATATTTGCAATATTCGAGATAACAATCATGAATAATAAGTTTTTCTTCTTCTGTTGGAGGTAATTTTGAAAGAGCCGTAGCAGCAGAATTAAGCCTTCTATTCTTTTGCTCTAATTAAAGCATGTAATTTATTTAATATATATATTATTTATCTATCCAATCTACACCCTTTTCATACCTTCAGTTATTTGAAATAGTTTCTTTTGATTATCATTTTCTAATTGAAGAGGATTTACTTGTACAGAACGACCTGTAAATGGATTTTTT